TATTGAAGTGTAAAGATGGAAGATAGAAGATTGAAGATTGAAGACAGAAGATAGAGGGGGGGGGGGGGAGGCTAAAGATCTTGTTTTCTCGAGCTGGTCCCCAAGCGTCATCTAATTATTCAAGAGGTCAAATCACGCAGCGATTAAATGAATGACTTCGACTTTCAGAGCGGAGGCCACTACTTGATGACGCACAGTACAAAGTCCACACAAAGGTAGCGCAAATGTGCCAAACTGCTGCTTTTGTACGAGTTCTTTGAGTCGCGCACACACCGACGCACGCTCGACCATTGACTTTGGTTTGAAAAATCAACCTAGTCGATCTTCACGCACTCGCACCTCGAGGCTGCTGCGTGTTACTTGGCAACAAGCTGAATGCAACATAGCTGCAGCTGCGTGCACTGTCGCCGAGTATCTTTATGAAATCTGCTCGCCAATCTGTTTCCTTTCAACACACACGCTCACCCAAAATGTGTTAGCGTCTGCTGCGGTGCACGTGACTTCCAGAATGTGAGGCCTCCGGTGAGGAGAGCTTGATGAAGGTGGGGGTGACTTATTTGCCTCCCACCGTTCTCCGCATGAAGATGTCAATAGGAATGAAAGCGGACGAGTGGAAGGAAGTGTTTACGTTGGGGCCGAGGCTTGCCAAACTCTTGATTTTGCTTGGCGAGAGCACGGGAGGACGATCTGACTCGGAGGCTGTCATCCGCTGCCAAATGTCACTCTTCGAAAAAGAGCTGCAGTCGGCCCGGGAGGGAGGGAGAGGGGGGAGGAGCTTTTGGGGGGGGGGGGGTTATGGTAAATGATGCTCCTCTCAGAGTCATGCGCTGACTCACACGGCTATTAAAATAACTGGGTCTGCACCTGGCAAACAGCCTCGAGTGGACGGACAGGACAAAAAGGATGACCTAGAGTAACCTCACCCGGGGGTTGCATCGTTTTTTGTTTTTTTTTAAATCAGCAGGGTTCTTGCTCTGACGGCGCAACTATTCTTGACTGAATTAGATTTGAATTTCACATACCTATGCGGTTCTCGCTTGACGTGCATACGGCAAAGGGGGTTGATGATGACCCGACTAAATCTGCCTGGGCTCTCTGAAATATCACTCAGAATCAAAACGCTTCAGTACAATAGGGTTCTCGCATTCGCATCGATACCTGAGGAGGATGTCGTTTCATGGTCGCTTTCTCCGTCTTTGCTCTCCTCGGCAAAGCCCGACGGTCCGGGGCAACTTGCGCTGGCGGGACGCTGCTGCTGCTGCTGCAGCTGGTGCCTGCGCCTCTTGCGAAACCTCTGCGAGCGCAACATGTTCTGATCCACAAACTCTTTCGCCCCTTTCTTCACCCAGAGTGGAGAAACGCGGACAAGGAGAACATTTGGCGATATGGCGTCGCAGGGAGAAAAAAAAATGCAAACAAACAACGGGCACCTGCAACAAGAAACAGTCGGCGCCGCACGGATCCGTCTCCATTCGGATCTCTTTGCTCTTCCTCTTGTACACGTTGGGTGTTGCGTGGAAAGCTGGATAAACAAGCGCACTTTTAGCACATTCAGACTGTTAATAGTGAAGAAACGTGAAAATCGTAAGAATAAACACTGAAAACTGAATAATGCGAGCAAATTATAATCGTTATATATCTATCTATCTATATCTCTATCTCTATATAGAGATATAGATCTATATTTTTTGGATAGCTGTAACAATATATATGTATGTTGACCTGACCAATCTTAAAACTGCAGGGTCAAAAGTACCTCAAGTTGGGTGGAATAGCTAACCCAAAAGGAGCCCAGCCGATGCTGGGTTATTTTTTTGAAGAGCTTACGGTGGAGGAAGCAGTCGTATTTGAAGCATCGCCGGCAGAAAAGCGTATGGAAGGAGTGCAACGACTGCTCTCGCTGCACTGACTTTGCGAAAGGTCCGTCCACGTTGGGGGTGCAGAGTGGGGGCAACTTGACCAGGCTGGGGGGTTCCAGGAGGTCCTTGTACCTAACCCGCGCCCCCACCCAACAAAAAAAAAAAAAAAAAGAAAGAAAAAAAAATAGGTGAGAGGAGGGAGAACCTTTCGAGTCCATTTCAGCCTCTATGTTTTGTCGTCAAGCTCTTTCAGATTGCTACAAATGCTCTTTTGAGGACCCCAATGCGGGTGGGGGGCATCATGATTACCTCCCTTCCCAAATGTTTGCCTCTTCAAGGCGAACGCTAAGCAACGGCCCTATTCAGTATGGCGTCACCAAGATGGGTCTTTATTTCCCCACTTACTTTTCCTTCAGCTCCTCCATGGTGCCCTTGTACGGGAACATGGAGGCGATGGCAGTGAAGATCTTGTCGCTGGGGATCTTCTTGCTGCCGGACGGGTCCCGCACTGTGCGGAACAGTAGATGACTAGTCAGTGATTCGGGCATTTTTTTTTAACTTGTTTTCAAATCAGTGAATAATCTTTTTTTTTTCCTTAGTCGTGATTTCAGCATCAATCACAAAGAATCCCCTCAAGGTCCATCAAATTCATCGGACTTTGTACAACGGTTCTTTTTAAGTTTTGTACTTGCAGCCGTGTCAGAACAGTGTCATGGAATGGATTTTTCTTGAAACAGAAACCAAGCAAGGGGACACGTTGTCCGCATGTAAACAACACCAGTCCAGGGGTCCCGCTGACAGTGGCATGGTGACCGGACAAACAGTTGCGGCCTTGTTGTGCCACTCTCTCTCTCTCTCTCTCTCTCTCTCTCTCTCTCGTGTGCTCACGCGGGCGGGACAAAGTCTCATGTGACTCACAACGTGCCCTCACCCTCTACAGTGCTCCTCCTCTTCCTGCGGTTGAACGGCGCTTTGGTCTCCTCAGCGCCCTCGGTCGAGCTTCGTCTGATCGCTCGCTCGGCTTCCTTCTTTTCAGTCGGCGCCGCTGTCGCGGCTTCCTCCTCGTTCTCGTCCTCGTGGTCAGAGTACTGGTTCAAGGCCTCCACCAGCTCCTTAAAGATTTCGTCGCTGATGAAGCCTCCTTCTGGAAGGCAACGTCGCAATGAGCGGAGCAGATGTGAAGCAATGGTGGCTTGAAGAAAAACAAAAAAAAAAACCGCACCTCTGTCGCCATGGACGCCGTCATAGTTGTCAATCAATTCCTCCAGGAAGGCCTCATCCTGCTCCAATACCTCGTCACCCATGTAGGGAATGTTGTGCAGAAATGTCTCATCCTCCACCTATCACAAATCAAACTTGAATAAGAAGTATCCATTTAATATAAAAGGGATGGAACTATTTTTAGGAGGAGGCATCACATGACACACTTCAGTTTTAATCTGTGCGAGCTTTGAAAATATATAAGGTTCACTTCATTAGGTACATCTGCTCAACTGAGTAATATTGCAATGGCAGAACTGATACGGTTTCATGGCCTGTATCTTTTGACGATAGGCGGCATTCAAGGCCACCGGTGTCCCTAATGTTTTGGCCCAGCGAGTGGGGCCGTGCTTGTGTTATTGTTCACCATGAAGTTGTGCTGCAAAGGCGACCAGGAGTACATGAAGGGGATTCCTGTCACTGTCGACAAAGGCCTCATGGCCACGGCCTGAACTTTGAACCCTGGGAAGCCGGACTCCACGGTGCACATCTGGAAGAGAAAGATTGTGTATTTTCAAATGGACAAATACTTACCAACCCGTCTTCAAGTTTTACATCTTTTCTTACCTTCTTAGTCGCCGCAGGGCCGTCTGAGCTCGACAACGGCACCGACTGGATCCTCAGATTGGACCATTCCCCATTCAGGATGCTGGTCTGCTTCTCAATCTTGACCCGGTTGGACACAAACACGGCCTGGAGACACAAGGCGGAGCCAAAAGCGACATTAAAAACACGTGGGGCGCAGGAAGGAATGTCGCTTTTTAACAAGCGGGACCCTGACCCACCTTGACCTCTTCTGCTTTCTTAAGGCGCTTCAGCTGGCGAAGGCGCATGTACTCGGACCTGACCCGCCGACGCCACTCCAGTAGGCTGTGGGCGGGGCCGAGGTATAACGGCGGCTGAGGTTTCGGGGCGGGTGGGGCAACGACGGCCGGGGCTGAAGCTTCAGCGGTGCTTACCTCCATTACTCTTGAATTAAAAGAAAAGAGACGTGCCTTTCTGAATGAACAGTTGTCATAATTTTAGGCACTCCTTAACATTTTTCTCCATGTTGTCATGTATGGTTGTGTGTATGTAAAATCTTGTTTTTATATTCATCAATTTTTTTTCAATGGAATATGGTCTAAAATTAAGGTTTTTTTTTTGTTTTCTGTTTTTTCCAGAACTGTGATGTCTTCGAGATCCTGCAGAAAGCGGCATGGCATCACTTCTGATTTGAGATCAGCATACAGGTATAGCTTTTGAGCTAGTTTTCTCCACTTTTAGGCGTGTTAGAAACCGGTGTTTTTGGTGAAACCAACCCATGTTCACCTGCCGTTTACTAAAGAATGGAAAAAGCTAGAAGGAAAACTTACGTTTGGTATGCTTGGTGCTTCTATTTTTCACAATATTCTGTGAGTTTTGACAAATATGTAAAAATACTGTAAAATGGCTTGCAGTATGGGAAAGTTTGAAACATCTGGCAGAGAATCAGTTAATACCTGTCAGGCACACTACTACAAACGACAGCATTGTTACATTGATAACTGAACTGACAGCGTTCGTCGAAAGACAAAATGATTGCAATCTCAACACCAACTGTACTTTAATGTCATTGGGAAACAGCGGCCCCTTGTGATGGCAAAACAAACGCGTCACTGGGGTAAAATAAGCCTCCTTGGCCATTTAAAAGGGTGCGAACGGTTTAAAAGTCTCTTTGTCGTCGTCTGCTCTCTCACCAAATAGCTCGCCAGGGCTGGCAAACGTTGGCTCGTTGCGCGCACGGCCTGAACACGGCACTGACACGCACGGTGGTCGCGAGTGGGCGTGCCTCGGTCAGGAGAAAAGTGCGTTGCGCTGCGTGCGTTGCTTGTCTTTTTTTATGTGCCTTGCCTCTAAAGTTGCGTGCGCGTAGAAGATCCGTGAAAACGAGCTGCGCAACATCCAACATCTGCGTCACACACACACACACACACGCGCGCGTGGACTCCCCCCAGCCACCGCTCACCAACATATCATCCACCACCATCGTACCAGTCGTCACATACCTTCAAATCCACGCGTGTTCGTCAAGTGTGGAACCTCGAAGGATGATCCCGCGTGGATTGGGAGCGCCCGCGTCCCTGTTTATGGTCGTGACGCAGATTCGGTGTCTGCATGACGACGGCTGGATGTCCGAGCAGTCCCTCGGCGGCGGCTCTGCGGGGCCATGCTGCTGCTGCTGTGGGCTAACCTTGTTGTCGTGGGGTGGGGGGTGTGGAGTTGGGGAATAGGGGGAGGTGGGCGTCCACGGAGCTGCGCACTTGGCAGAGCGGCAGCGGCGTCAGTAGCAGCAGCAGCAGCGGTGACGTATCCTTGGGTCAGGGGAGGAGGATTTATGTCTAAATTGTTTTGCGCCGTCTGGGAAAGGGAGGAAGTGCCGTGCTGAGGCAGCCAGCTTCCCCATCTAAATAACGTCAACTACAAGTCGTAGATAGCCATTCGGCAGAAAATAAACAACCACATTTCAAAGTCACAAACGCATATTCCTTGCTGCGGAGCGGGCTATAAAGACTAACTTAATGTGTGATTCCAAGTAATCGATCAGAAAAGTTGGAAGCGATCCAGAAGCTGGTTTTCGCAGTCGTCAAAACACTCCAATTGTCATTCTGCGCTCTTCCTGTAGGGGGCGAGCGAGACAATTTCCCCAGTGGAGTCAGTGAGGAAGATCCTCTTCAGCCAATGGTGCCTTCAGGGACATCACGTAGAATCTCAAAATCAGTACAGTATCTTTGTCTAAATTGCCTTTTTCATATTGTGTTACATCCACAAATCCAGGTAAAGGCTGTTGGCTCGTGGAATGTACCACTATTGCGGGTAAACGGCAAATGCCTTCGTCCACAACAGACTAAATATGAAATACCGAAAACATTTTAACAAAAACCTACCTATCTTCAATACTATAATGTCGTGACACAAAAAAATACTTAAATAACAACCAACATGAGTATTTACATAAATGCCTACACTAAACACCCCTCGAACTATGCCCGCATGAGGTTGCCCTCGTGGAACTTGTGGAAATGTAACCGTAGTGTGTGGGGTTTCTTTTGTCCAAAACAACACACATGAGAGGAGGGATGGTTATTTTAAGGTAAATAACATCTGCATTCGTCATAATCAGCTAAATGTTTGTGTTGTCACCAGTGTCGGCACATCATTCACTGACTCAGTAACGCTTAAAAAAAAACACGTTGTATTTTCACTCCAAAAGCATATTTTGTCAACAAAGCATGAACGCTACATTTTGCCTCCTTCAATATTTTTATGCATCAAACATGTCATCTTTTAAAATTGAATTATTTCAAATTTCAAAGACGGAATGATTCGCGAGTATGGCAATTCAGTATCACTTGTTAATCAATCATATCAGTTTATAGCAAAAAACGTTCAATGGTACTTTGCATGAAAGCCCGAATGTCAATTTAGTTCTAGTCTTGGATGTCACACAAGAGGGCGCCGTTGAACCTCATTTAAATGCTCCAGCGTGCCAAGCTTGCCCGTCCATCTACAACGGGTCCATTGTCATGCTAAGCTACCATAACACTTGCCTGTTGTGGTTCGGCCGTTCATGCATTCCTGCTTACCAATTACACAGTGGGAAATTGAAGTCGACATGTACGTTGTGTTGATAGTGAACTGTCAAACAAAAGTAAACACCCACAGGGAGATAGGCTGTCAAGCATTGAGGCTTTATGAAGAGGAAGTTTTGATTGTGCTTAATGTCAACTGCGTATGTTGCTGTTGGCACATGCTGTTAGGAATCTTAAAACATGTTTGTGCAACGGCCAGGAGAGACGGCGAGCATGTGGAGAATAATGTACATTTGAAAGATGGCAGGCTAAAGTGATGCACGTTGAATGCATCAGTCATGATGCTTCCCTAGTTTAGGGGAAATCTGTCTCCTTTCATGCAATACGATGCGGGCTATACAGGTGCTCGTCAAAAAATTTGATCATCATGAAAAAGTTGATTTATTTCAGTAATACTAGTTAAAAAGTGAAACTTTGTATAATGCATACATTCATTCCACACAGACTGAAAACAAACAACAACAAAAAATCACTATCTCAGAAAATGTGAATATTTTCAAAATTGTATGCGAGACATGGGTTTCAGCTGTCGCATTCCTTCTGTCAAGCCACTCTTGAACAACAAACAGCGTCAGTAGGTTATGGATTAAATTCAACACAAAGGCAAAATACCACACTGGATTTGTATCCATGATATACAAAAAAAAAAAGATTGTGTTCCATTTTTGAGGTTCCATTGTACTCCGAAAAAAAAACTGTCAGAGCCGTTGTTATGACACGGTCAGACCAAGTGATGGAGCGGCTCTCTCTCCCTGCTCGTTGAACTGGAGGGGGTGGGATGGGAGCCAGGGATGGCGCTTCATCAGTAGCAGCGTCTACCTTATCACAGCCGCTCTGTCCTTTTCGGCAGGAAAAACGCCCATCCTAGGAAACGTGGGCTTCCTGTTGTTTTATGGAGAACTTCCTGTTAAAGAAAAAAGGGGGGAAAAAGTTGGGATATGTAACCCCCAGTGGGAGAAGGACAGAGTACTGTTGGGCAACATGACATGCAGCAGGTTTCACCTCGTCTTTGCTATCTGCTTTCTTCTATGCGGTAAGTGAAGCTTTCTCTACATGTCTTGTTTTATATACAGTAAGCCTTGAAGTGCTCACCTCTGAGTAGCAATTCCCAGGAGCATTCCTGTCATGATCTTAAATGCCGCTTTAATTGAATACGCGTGTATGTATTTCCATTTTTTTTTCATTCGTGTTATGTGAGGTAAGTGTTGTTCATCTTTATAAGGCTGGTTTGGTTGTGAAATCCTGATACAGATGTTTAAAATAACAATTTTGCATCACAGTCACTGATGTTTTTTTGTTTCCCCCCGCCCCCCACCTTTTGGAAGCACAGTAAAGCAGATACAGTTCCATTTATTTCCTTATTGGGCTGTTTATTTCTTCCTTTCAAACAGCCTCGCATACACCAGTGAGTTGCCTGGTGGATGAAAAGTTGTCTGTGCCGTCAGCCACCACAGTCGGTAAGAACATTGTCATTGTTAATCACGAGAATAAGAACATCCCGAAAGCCCGAAGAGTCCTCATTTGCGTCCATCCCGAAATGTATGATAACTTTCCGTACAGCGTCGCTCTACAAAAAAAAAGCTGGGTATTTTCTTAAAAATTGTATGTTTTTTGGAACATGTTTTTGTGGAACCCCACTCACCAATCAGTCAGTTGAATAAACAGTCCTTGGCAGAGGAAAAGTGACCTATCACACATAGTACTCAAGATGCATTTTTTTTTTGTATATTGCTGACATATTTTCTTTACAGTGTATCAACCGACAGAGATGATGAACGCCGTCGCCAGTAAGTGTCTTGTTTAATTCAAAATTGCGTAACACCCACTCCCACACACTTCATAACATGTTGGGTGTTTTGATTGACTGTGTGTGTCCACTCCGGTGGGGAATATTTGGCATCATATTCCTAAACTCAAAAGAGCTGAGCGATCTGGGAGATGACGACCTCCGCCAAGATCTGTGTGCGTGTGTGTGTGTGTGCGTGTGTGTGTGTATGTTCACTCCAGTCCAACACAAACTCACGGTGAGGTCTGATCAGCCCAAGCCTCGGTGAAAGGTTAACCGAAACCATGTCCCACCTGGTGAAACTTCCTGATTTTTTTTTTCTATCATTGGGCCCCCCCATACGCGACTGACGCAGTGTTGTGAAACCGGTGCGTGTTTGCAAGTGAGCGAGTGCCCCTTCGCTGTTCCTCATCATATGACCACCACCCTGCCAACTCCCCCAAGTTGTAGCTCCTCCTCTGCAGAAAAGGAGAAAAGACACTTCCTTATGTCATTACTAAATGAAAAAGCGCCTTGGCTAGCAGATGTCAAGAGAGGCCCTGTGACCTGATTCGGTGACATGTAACGTAACATGAAAAGTCTAGGCCTGCTTTGTTATCACAGCCGTCATTTTGACAAAGAGTTCAGGGTGGCCAGAAAATACCAAACCAAGAAGCCTTTGTTGCGTTGTAGTGCTCTGGTCAAGGAAGTAGTAAATACAGGAATATATCTTGTACAGGAGTGTTGTACGTGGGTCAATAAAAAATAAATCTTTTTTAAAGTTGCAGATACAGGAATTTACTGAACTCCTTCACCGCCATAGACGAGTACACATTTACATATTTTTTTTCAATGGAGAAGAGTGGTGAAATTTACTGTTCCACTGTAAATTTCAAGCTTGGAAACAACTTTACTGATGCAGACCCACCAGTAGATGGCAGCGATGCATCATCTTTGTGAGTCCACTGGAAGCTAAAGCTGCATTCTGTCGAATCTGCCGTGATTCTGATGACAAAATAATGGAAAAGACAGAATCCCTTTTTTTTCCAGATGAAAGGAGAGCGTCTATTCTCACATTTGGTCTTTTTTTTGTTGTAAATAAAATCATTGGACACAACATCCTTTGGGTTTTGGAAAAAGTCCAAATGCTCTGAAATGGCTGGCAATGAATGTGCGGGTACTGGAATTTACTTTTAATAGATGGGTGGTGCATAAGTCTTGGAAGAAGATTTTGCATTTTGCTGAGGATCTGGAGCAAGGCGGTGCACACCTCTCAAAAGAACCCGGTGCTGGTTCGCAGGCCATTCAGTAACTTGTAATCGGAGCAGCGCAATGAATACTGTAGTGTACAAACACATTTTGTCTGGCAATGTAATGAAGAAGAGACTGGAGAAATTGACGGAACGGGTCAAGCAAGGATCTGGATCAACTTTACTTTTGAAGTTTAGATTTACTTTGGCGTCCTCCATGGACCAGAACTTAGCCCGGAGCGAAAGACCTAACTCTTAACGTTGGTCTCACAGCTTTTTGCAGAAGATTGGATTGGAGTGGATTGAGAACAGTCATTAGCCGGTTATCATACTCCAGCAAAAGCCTAGAAGTAGCTCAAACTCGTCTGCTTGACTCGCACATGTTAGTTTGTCTTTTATTTGGCTCCATTGAAGCCAAATATCAATCTGTGCTGCTTGAACAGTCGTTATTCCCATCCAGACTCTGAGAAGCTCAAAATGTTTGCTTATGTTTCCTATTTGGCAGAGCTGGCCCCCCCCAAAAAAGGCAAATAAATCACATACTGTGAGGCTGGCCAGGCCTTCCACTGTGAGAAACTGAGACTAAAAAGCAGAACAAGAGTTTGGGAGTAAAGGGTTTTCAGATGTGAGTCCAGCCCAGTTCGCTTTGGGTGTGCTCCCTTCATTTTTATTTGGGGGAGAATGGAGAGGACAATCTCTGTTGCCTCCACCCCCTCCAGAAGGCAGGACTGTCCCGGGGAAGCGCCAGTCGGAGACGGGAAGAGCTGCCGGCGAGGCGCAGGGGCCGTGGGGCTGATCTGACGGGAACATCTGGCGAGGCGGGCAGGGTAGCTCTCCGTCGGACATCTGGTGGTGAGGGTTTTTACTCCGCGTCGCTCTCATCCTGACGCCGCTTCCTGTTATGCCTCGCTGTGCCTCAACGTCTTCGTGCAGGGCCATCCGTGCAGGAGGAGTCAACCTGATTCATTTATTCTGACATGAAGGGAGCGCTTGGGTTGATTGTGGTGTTCGTCTCCTTTCTCTCTGGTGAGTGTGTGTGTGTGTGTGGGGGGGGGGGGGGGGGTTTGCTCACTTCCCCTTTTTCCAGATGCAGTTATGTCCCTTGTAGAACACATGAAGCTGAATTCATTGACATGTTGTTGCATTCATGGCGATCAAATTTCTAATCTCAACTGTCTCCCTTCCAGATGCCACCTTTGGAGACACCCACTCACCAAGCGGTATGTGGAACAATCTTACACATCATTTCATTACACCTGCACAATCTAATAACAGCCCATTCAAATTACAACAAGGGTTAAGGACCGAGTACGAGTGGAGACGCCCAATATCAAGCACCAATACAAGACTCCTAAAAGTGATCCGATACTATGACACCAACACTACTTTTCCTGCTTGGCATATTTGTTTTGATCAAGGTGTTGGAGCATTGTTAGCTATTTTAGGGTAAATACTGAGGACAGCACTACTGTGATCATGCCGGTAGCTTTAACAACACAGTGGTAGATTAAGCCCCTTTTTAAAAGTTTCAAGCTTTTTATTTTTATTGACAATAATTTTGTTCTGTACTGGGCATTTTTAGGTTATGAAAAATATAAATTTGTACTCTAATGGTTTTTTTTAGGTCATGACAAAAGTACTTTTAACTTACAGTAGGCTCTCATGGATGACCCCTTTTTCCCCGTTAGTCTGTTCAATGCGACATCAATTACTACTTTCTTACTAGCCAGGGCTTTGACACCATTTTGTGGCATCATGGAGCATGTGAGAAAGACAACAAAAAAAACAATTGTAGGCGTGTTTTTCAGCAAACGGTGGAGTATAAATAAAAAATAAATAAATAAAAACAAAAAAGTTAAACGGTAATAGGTGAATAAACTTGTTCTATTAAGTGGTCCCGGTGTACCAAATATCATGTGCACGATTTGATTGTTCATTTCCAACCTCTTCCCTGCAGACTGTGGAAAAAGCAACGTCAGTTGTATGGACTTCGACTTTTTCTGCCATGCTCTCTACCCGGGAGCCACGATGGACTGCCTGTTCGAGCTCCTGAGCCAAATGTGCCTATGCAACTTCAACCTGGCCATGGCGGCCATGAACGCCACCGACTGGTGCGCTTGGGGCAGCGTCAGCGGGTAAGCAGACATTGACCGCCCGAGTGTTATTCAATCCTTTCGGGGACGGCGGTTACTACAGCGGACGGCTTATCAGGTTATCAAATTATCATAGCGGTACTTTGGTGTATGAGTTTAATCGGTTCCCTGATCAAGTTTGCGACTCTTGTGTGTGAATTAAATTTTGCCCGTTGAAATTCATTTCAACGCCAATAGTCAACTCGAAAACGCCACCATTTTTTTGTGATGTCCTTTTAATAGCTGTATTGTTGTATTGCCTCTCGATAGGTTGTACAGCAACTTAAGCCTCTGTACCGAGAACATCTCCGACTGCCTGGGCATCCCGTGGCCCAGCCCTCTGGTGGAGCAGACGTTTGTGGACATCCACCACAGGTTCTTCAAGGACTGCCCCATGGAGGAGCTCAGCGACCCGCCGCCGCCCATCATCTTCGCCCTGGTGATCACGCCCATCCTCTTGATCCCCGTCATGGTTAGTCTGGTGGTCCTAAAGACCAAGAACGGAGACGGGAGCTCCTGATCTCCTCACTGTGAGCGAGGGCCAAAGATTGGGGTTTTATTTTTTTTAGAGACGAGCCGCGATCGTGAGAACGTCACGGGAGATTTCCAAGACCGTGGGTGCATTTCAACTCAAAATTACTTGGGACTTTTTGCTCCTTGTAGCGTTATTCAAGGAACAAAAAGATTTCAATGGCCTGTTGTTATTTCCATAAGCAGTTGAGTTTATTTGTCACACGAAGGACAATTTGCCAGTTCTTCCTAGGTTTTTGTATCCATGACTTTGTTTTTTTTTTTTTTTTTCTGTTGCTCCAAAACTTATTTGGCTAAATCTTTTGAATTTTCCTCTTAACTGCTCCTTCCAATTCCCCGAGTTGAAATTCATTTCAACGCCAATAGTCAACTCGAAAACGCCACCATTTTTTTGTGATGTCCTTTTAATAGCTGTATTGTTGTATTGCCTCTCGATAGGTTGTACAGCAACTTAAGCCTCTGTACCGAGAACATCTCCGACTGCCTGGGCATCCCGTGGCCCAGCCCTCTGGTGGAGCAGACGTTTGTGGACATCCACCACAGGTTCTTCAAGGACTGCCCCATGGAGGAGCTCAGCGACCCGCCGCCGCCCATCATCTTCGCCCTGGTGATCACGCCCATCCTCTTGATCCCCGTCATGGTTAGTCTGGTGGTCCTAAAGACCAAGAACGGAGACGGGAGCTCCTGATCTCCTCACTGTGAGCGAGGGCCAAAGATTGGGGTTTTATTTTTTTTAGAGACGAGCCGCGATCGTGAGAACGTCACGGGAGATTTCCAAGACCGTGGGTGCATTTCAACTCAAAATTACTTGGGACTTTTTGCTCCTTGTAGCGTTATTCAAGGAACAAAAAGATTTCAATGGCCTGTTGTTATTTCCATAAGCAGTTGAGTTTATTTGTCACACGAAGGACAATTTGCCAGTTCTTCCTAGGTTTTTGTATCCATGACTTTGTTTTTTTTTTTTTTTTCTGTTGCTCCAAAACTTATTTGGCTAAATCTCTTGACATTTACTCTTAACTGCTGCTTCCAATTCCCCGAGATGTTTTGTCTTTTTGAGAAATTCTCAACAGAGCTTGCTTCACTCGCCATCCGTTGGTCAACATCAAAACATCAAATGAGTAGCAAATGTTCCAACCTTGATGATCAAGGACTTTTTTTGGGGGGGGGGGGGAGTAGATACATTCTAACCCAGAACTTGATTTTAGACAATGTTTGTCTTAAGATTCCCAGTTCTAGGGCTAGGTTCCTGTGGACCATCGAGTCCTGCCGTATTTCTTCTGCCTTGGAAGGAATCCAGTAAAAGCGTTCCACCTTTGTGTAGGATTCTTTATCTCTGTTTAGCTTCTCCCAGATTTGTTTGGTTTATCCTTGATCAAACTTGTAGCGACGCTTTTTCATCTCTCAGATTGCCGTTGTCACTTCCCTCGTTTTTGGTGTTAAGACAAAGTGCTTAATAGAGATCATCATCATCTCACATGATGTAGTGGAAACAGTCAGGGATGTGCCAAAGCTCCTAAACCTGGCTTCCAAATTTTAGACCATGACCAAGCCCTCGCTTGTATCTAAAGCCACATTTCAGCCAAGCGATTGAATCCAGTTTGACTCGGCTTGGTGGGGGTAATTCCTTATATGGCTTCTGTTTGCGGGGGTGGCGACGTAGCTATTAGCTTCAAAAAGATCAGGTGATGGTGTCTTTTTCGACAGCTCTTTATTACAAAAAAAGGGGGGAAAAAAAGCAGATTTACGAGCAGAGACTGTTCTCTGTCCTCCAATCAGTGGACTGTGCCGTGTCCAGCCCCGCCCCTTTTGGTACTCTCTCACAGTTTATTTTTATTTTTTGTAGCCCCTATGGCAAGGTTGCCAAAAGTGACACACTCAGGCACGTTTCACAAACAAATCGTAACAAAAATTAAACGGAACGGCCCTACTCGGTGGAAATTGAATTCATCTTTTTTTCATGACAAGACCTTAGAGAAGTGGTCGCGCTTAATGGGAACCAAATGACGACAAACACATATTTTATGACATTATGTGTACTTATGACAAAAAGCTCTGGAGCTTGCTGGAGAGACCTCCGTTTTGGTGACATTGGGAGTCCGAGTGTTCGGTGTCGCAGGTAGCGCTCCATTAGAATGAGCAAAACGCGCTCGGGTTGGGCAGGATGGGATGGCAGAGGTGATGGAACACAATTGTTGGGAGAAGCCTCCTTTCCTGCCATTGTCTTCTTTTTGAATCCTCATCCTCTTCTGGAGATCTGATTCATATTCGTCTTAATTTCAGCGACAGGAAGCAAAAGACATGAATAATGTTTCGCCTTGTTTGAGTGACGAGAAAAAAAAGCTCTTTTGAGCGCTTTCAGATCCAGTTTGTATTTATGTGGTATTTCTCTGTATTTTCTGGACATCCTGTCGCAACTGAGAGGAAACTGCAATGTACTGTATTACAATTAAAAAAGCATTTTATACTGTACGTTAAGATCTAAGCTTGCTTTTCTGACCTGATGTCTGAAAGATAATCAAACCATTAAAAAGTTATCAATAAAAAAATGCTAAAAATGGAATTGGAAATAAGATAGAAATGGCATTATAATTATGCTTCTTCAAATACATCGTTTAACAGGGCCCATTTTATGATTTAATGATACAAATTTTCCAATGCTAAAATAATGATGGGGGATGGCAAAAAAGAAGCAAGGAAATACAGCTTAACAATGAAAGATAAAATCATGCAAAAATAATGGAACAGAAATAACACTGCTAGTTGTGGTAAAATAATGCAAAAAAAAAACATTTTTTATGTGCTCCCTGAATAAAATGAAGATAGAAATAATGCTAAACATTGAATTGGATCTAAAACAAACATTTGTAAATCTCATTATAATACTGGTAATAATCAAAAAAAAAAAATGCTAAGATGCTGTGATCGAGCCCTATGAACTCTGCCTAGCAACAAGTAGCTGGCCAGTCATAATCTGTCGCTGAAGTTGTTGATTCTGTCCGCTACCTCACAGAATTATTGTGGAATTGTGTGCTTTTTAAGGCGTGTGATATAAATCGTTGCCTTTAATAAATTACTAAATATTGAAAAAATGCTTAAAGAGCGTCAGTGGCTGTTCTATTAAAACACCACTGACACACCACTGATCACGCCCTCACTTGGCACAACAGTGTAGGGAGGGCCCAGTTCGTACAGTGTGTGTGTGTTCGTGTGTGTGTGCGTGTGTGTGTGTGCGTTGTGTGTGTGTGTGTGTGTGTGTGTGTGTGTGTGTTGGTGTGGGTGTGC